CTACTGCTACTGCTACTGCTAAGGCTACTGCTACTGCTGCTGCTACTGCTACTGCTACTGCTACTGCTACTGCTACTGCTACTGCTACTGCTACTGCTACTGCTACTACTGCTGCTGCTGTTCCAGCTCCTGCTACTGCTTCTGCTACTGCAGTGTTTTGAAAGCCACAATATGGAAGGGCACAGGGTTTAGGGTAGTCGTTGGAGCAGCAATCCGGAAGGTACCCATCGACTGCCATCAGCATGATGCTCGTCATGCTTTATCAAACCAGGAGCCCTCAGCCTCTACAGAAAAAGCTTTAGCCACTTTAGCCTTCCAGCAAGCCCCAAATGTAAAATTTCAAACGCCAAACTCCAAACCCCAAAGCCTAAGACCCCATGCAACCTCGTTTCTCTATCGGCTGTTGATGTGGTGGTGGCCTGTCGAACTAGGCATTGCATGGGACCCCTGACCTTCTAACAAACAGTACTTGCAAAGTCAAACGAGTTCCCTGCGGTGCGACTTATTCCAGCGGGTGGGAAAAAGAGATCCCAAACCGAAAGCCCAGGCGAAGGCTTTGCACGCCTTGCTCATGTACAAAGCCGATCCGCAGGCTCTCTTCAGATGTCTGGGTGTACAAGGTGTGCATACGGGGCGAACTTTAAAGCTTTTTGTGCTTAGGGTTTAAGTATCCAATTTCAGATTTTTGGGTGCTCAGGGTTTAGGTGACTAGATTTGTTTAGATTTTGGGGTGTTCAGGGTTTAGACAGGGCGCCTTTCAGGATTGAGGGGCGTAAGGCGGTTGAGGGTTGAAGGCTCTATGTTGTCTACCTTCGTGAAGCTCGAGACTGCCGAGCCCCCAGGCCTCCCCTAAACCCGAAGCCCCTACGTCTAGTCTCCATTGTAGTTCGTTTGTTAGTTTAATCAAGTTCATGTTTAGGATCGCATAAGGGAGCCCAGAAAAAGGAACTACGATGTCTCGACTATGGGTAAGGCCGAAACCCCAAACCCCAAGGGTTGCTCATCCGAGGGCTGTGGCTTTAGGTGGTGTTCGGGTTCTAGGGTTTAGGGTTTGGGGTTGCTGGAGTTGAGAGTTGTTTGTGCTTTGTGGTTGAAACTCTGCGATGGTCTACAGTGAACTCCAGAAAGTTGGAAAACGGTTTACCGATGATTTGTGCCCGGACACCCTACACTTTATCTAAAGGCAAGTTTCTGGCTACTGTAGGAGTAGGGAAAAAAAGGGCTGCACCAAGGCAGAAAACCAGGTTGCCTGTTGGTGCACCTCATTCGACAGCAGAACACGGTATAAAGCCTTTATTAAGGGCCTTCTTTGTTTAGATGCCGAGCAAGACTCTTTTGATTGGGAGCCTAGCAACTACACAACTTATGCAAAAGGGTGTAGTTTTGCAACGTGATTTGGAGAATAGGGCCTGGAGGCAGCAGGGATGTTTGGGGTATTTAGGATAGCATGTCAATCTCGTGTCGCAGCAAAGCTTCCTTGAATCCCAACACAGTGCACAGCTCGAAATTCTCGCAAAAGCGGCCTGTGCAAAGCGCGAAGATCAGCCGACAGAAGTTTGGAAACTTGCCTTAAGCCCTGAGTGCCCAAACTTGAAATGGGGTTCCTGTGCCGTGATGTCAACTCGAGCGACGAAGCTAGATTGCATGCCGGCAGGGGGCATTGCTGCACATGCACTCGTTTCTGAGCCTTTCTGACGCCGACCTGCAGACAGCCCAGAAGGCCAACAAGATCTCGTTTCCTCACCGTTTTGGCGCAGACCTGCGGACAGCCAAGAAGGCCAACAAGATCTCGTTTCCTGACCTTTCTGGCACAGACCTGCGGACACCCAGGAAGGCCAACAAGATCAAGGAAGAGGCCACCCTTGTGTTAGTTCTGAGCAAGAGGCAGATTTTCCTGGAGTGCCCTATCTGGGGGTGTGATGTGCAGTGTGGAGCTTCATTCCTTTCGGACGCATCGGGCTTTTGGGGGCTTGCACTCTGGTGCGCAGTGTACATGCTCAGGTGTCTGCACATGCCATGCTGGGTCATCCTGATTCTTCGCAGAGCCTGTGTAGCTCCCAAAGCGGCCTTATACTTGAGGCTTACCTGAGTAGCTGACTGAGTACACTGTACACTTCGTGGGGTTCATATTATCCGATTATCCTCCTATAGAACTGAACGTTCATACTATTTTTTTAATTTTTTTTGGGGGGGGGTGAACACAGCAACTACACAGTCTCCGTTGTAGTTACTCTTTTTGGTCTAGCCAACTCTATACTTATAAGGCCCTGGAAGATGACGCCCAACATGAGCTGCGCATTTTTAGCTTTAGGTATGGATGAACACAAAGCCCTAACTAGTCAAAGGCACTGAACAGATTCTCATGAAACAGGACCCGAGGGACCCTAAATTTGACTACATAGGCCCTTACATAAGATGAGTTCTAATCTGTTAGGACCCTTAGGTGAACGATGGAAATGTGCAGTTTACGGTGAGCCTGTTGAGCGGTTTGACTGCAAAGATAGCTTCTTGGCAGCACTAAGGTTCAGATTCTGCAGGGAATATCTTTTCGGCTTGAGGGTCCTCGGGGTTTTCGGGATTTTTGGGGGCTTGGGGTTGAGAGTCTAAGAGTTCGGGCCCTGAAGCTCCGTACCGTACTCCCTGCGGAGTATGCCCTGAGCCCTAACGCTCAAAAGTAGCATCACCGTAGGTGTGAAGAGTCCGAGCACGAGCCCCGAAATCCTAAGCTGAGAACCGTTACCCTAAACCCCTAAACCCTCAGGATTGTGCCCCAAGCGATACTCTTCTTGGGCTTCAAGCGCGCATCGCTGGCGCCTTGCAGATTGCCGATGCTTCTGCGCCGATCTTGCCCTCGATGCAGTTTCTCTGGGTGGATCAGAGCCGTGGCTCTTGCTACACACAACATGTTATGTATGTTGGCTGTTATGCGTGTTGCAACCTGCTTTCTGTATGGTGTCTTATGACGTTTGTATATATATATATACATGCATACAAACCAACCAGCCAACCACACACACACACACACTCACTCAAATGCATGCATAAATACATACATACACACATACACACATACATACATACATACATACATACATACATTTATACAATTATATATAGATATATAGAAATATTCACATGTACATATATATATATACATACATACATACATACATACATACATACATGCACACGTAGTCATGTGTGTTTGTTGGCGTGCGCAATAGTGAGAGAGAGAGATTGAGATTTAGGGACTATACTATACATACGTTGTTCAAGGTACATATGTCATATTACATGCTGGTGTGCAGTTCTTACTTGTTAAGTATTGTACAGTATGTTTCTCGCGTGACTCATCATCCGTTTTTGTTAGGGGATGGTGTTACATGTGTTCATAAGTGTATAAAGGAACTGTGTGAGAGAGAGAGAGAGGGCTGCATTATGTGGAAAAACTAGTTTGACTTTGGCGATTATACTACTTGTCCGATGTTCGATGATACTTGATATGTGTCCTTTCCACGTTACTTCAGGTTGTTTTACAGGTATTGTTGTTGATATTATGTTCATTGTCTGTGTCTGTGACAACTTTATATTACAACAGCCCTTTCTGCAATTATCAGATACTGTAGTTCTGATTGTAGGCACTGTATTTACACACTTTGCTGTAAACCGGGTATCAAGTTAATCAAGTTTGAGAACATTGCAGAATGCATAGCTCATTTCGTCTACATTGTGATTATTGTGATTCGGTTTGTGATATTTTCGTTTGCTTACCTATTGCCACTTGACATATTACATGCTGTTGATGTTGTTGCATGTTGTGTGCTACTTTATGTGCTATAGACCACTACAAATCACGTGTTACAGATTACACGGCACATGTTTATGTTAGCCAACACCGTATATTGTACAGTACGGACTCTCTGTTCCGTCATGTACAATGTCAAGTTCTTGTGTGAAGACTTCTGCGGCGTTAGTGCATGAGTACGTGCACCTATATATATATATGTATATACACGCATGCATACATATACATGCACATATACATCTGTAGCTTTAGCATTCCCGGATGGGTGTTTATATACATATATCATAATACAAATATTTGCGGAACATTGAATACGCTACAAAGTTTCAACCACACATCATTTTCTGTGTTCTATGGTATAGGTCATATACACAAAATCAGTTGCATAAGTTCCATGCTGTACATGTACATGCAGTTAACTGTGTACTGTATGGTTTCGAATTTATTTGGAGGTATCAGAATGAGGGCTACATCATACCATATAATCCGACCCTGCATGACAGTAGCCGACACCCTGAAAAGAACTGGCTAAAGCCGTAAACCTAAAAGGTCTGAAAGCTAAACCTACGACAAGAATCTTCGAGAACCGAGGAGCCCATTCAACTGCGAAAGCGACCAGGCCATCCTCGAGCGCCTTGGCCCAGCTTTGGTCGGCTTTCGGTAGGCTTGGCCGTGGTCGCCATAAGCGGCTTCGGTTGGTGATTGGTACTAGTGGTATTTGTAGTAAGCGGTAGCAGCAGCAGCCGCAGCAGCAGCAGCAGCAGCAGCAGTATAGTAGCAGCAGTTGTTGTTTCCGTTGCTGTTAAAGCCGCGTTGCTAGTATGGACTGCTTAGGGGTTGGGGTTTAGGATACAAGGTTCAGGGTGTATAGGGCTTGGTTACGAGATCTCAGGTACGGCACACCGGCTGCACAGCTGGCAGGGGCTTATCTTCTCGTGGTCCTGGGAACAGAGCGTCCAGATTGGTGTGCCAACAAAAGCTTCAGTGGCTTGGGCTTTGCAAGAACCATGAGTCCTACTGCCGGAACCCCCAATTTGGATTTTGAGGCCCCAGCCCCAGACCATCACATAGATTTGAGGCTCCTGCCGTCCCTGAGCCCTCGGGGTAGGATCCAGAGCCGCAAAAACTGCAACACTGAAGCCGACCTTATGACAGTAAACTACCGCAGATCTACTTTTTTTAGTATAAGACCACCGCAAAATTCATAGCTAAAGCAGGCTGTGGCAGTTTAAGGCTTGGGTTTTGATGTCCATCGAGCAGTTGAAAAAGAGCCCTAGAGCCTCTGTAGAACAGAGGAGCCCTTACAGGCCCGAACCAGACGACTCAAGAAGACTTTATAGGGGGAAGCTTAGAGAGTAGTGCTTAGGGTTCAGGGTTTTTTTTTCGAGGTATCAGCCCCTGAGGAACTCTGAACCCTAAATCGTGAGGTATCAAGAAAGCCCCATGTCTTCCAAAGAGCTGGATCTCGGCTAAACAACAACGTGTACAACAGAGAGATCACCTTTGCCCTGAAGGGTACTACGGCTAGGGTTAGGCAGTTCGGGTTAGGTTAGAAGGCTCTGGGGAATGAGGGTTAAGAGCATGATGGGTTTGGGGGTTTGCAGTTGATGTTGTCGGCAGCCGCTGGAAGCTAGTGGTTTATCTTATCCAGTAGGCTGGTGGGGTAGACATGTAGGGTCCTGGCTTTTTTGATCCTTAAAGGGGTCTGGGTAGCCGAACCCAGAGCACCTTGGTTTGATAATCTACGGTACTCAGCTTGCTGTGGTACACAAAGGGCAAAGAGCAGCTTTCGGTTCAGTTGTTGTTCTAAGCCGCGGTTTACGTAGTCATGTAGGGGGGGGTTGTCAGGAAGTCTCCAGGAAACCCTAAACCCTAAACTCAAAAAGTGGCTTCCCCCCTGGATATAGACCAGGGCAAGCTGACCCGTTATTTGTATCACGCTGACCTGTGACGATGGATCCCTGCCTGGCTTGTCCGAGTTGCGAGAGTGCAAACCCTAAACAGTCTCCAATAAAATAAGCTGGCGAGACTTTGTGTTTAGTCCAAAGTTTCAGGTCAGCTCCATGAGTGCGAAGGCCAGTTCACGCACACCTGGTTGAATGTTCGCTTGGAGCTCTTCAAGCATCTTGGGTGCAAAGCTCTGAGAGTTTCCACTCTCGTTCCTCTGCAATTCCAAACCCTAAAACCTTAAACTAAACCCTAAACCCGAATCCTGAACCTTGCTATCCTGGGACCCGGGGAGGAGTTTCTGAAATCCTGCAAGAAGGCTATCTACTGTTTGGTGTAGCGCTTTGGTTCGGTAGCTTCCAATTCTCCAGTTGAGAGCCGTTGCCACGGAGTTTGTTCTCCAGACATTGGGATTTGAAGGGTTTCGGCAGTTTTCCGTTTGCTGTAAGTGTTGTGAGTTTAGAGCCCAAAGGGCTCCATAGCCTTGGGCTTCAGAGGCCTAGACGTCTTCAGCCTCCTGAGGGGTGAATGTTGGACAGCCAAGGCATGGCTCCTTCAGGTACCACTTCTCCTGCCAGATGCCGGGGTACTACGAGTTCACAGAGGCGCCATTCATGGATGGTACCCCGCACCCTCATTTGTAGCTCTAGGATGGTTATCTTGACTTGGTCGCAAGGACTCAACTTCAGCCACGGGATGCAGTGCAATGTTCATGAAGCCTGCGTAACCCTGCGCCATAACCCAAACCCCCCTCTGACCGGACTGTGTGGAGCCTTGCCTGCTTTGTGGGGGAGGGAGAGTCGAAACCCCTCTATAGGTTTCAACCCTCCTGAACACTCTCCCACGAATTGCTGGAGTTTCCGCTAAGGCAAGTTGAATGCATCGCATACATACGGATGTTTTGTTCATAGGGGTAACAAGAGAGTGAGGGCTGCAGTATGTATGAAAAAGGTACTACTACTGCTGCTACTGCTACTGCTACTGCTGCTGCTGCTGCTGCTGCTGCTACTACTAACTACTACTACTACTACTACTACCACTGCCATTCTCCTCTTACTACTGCTACTGCTGCTACTCTTGCTAGTGCTAGTGCTATGCTGCTGCTACTGCTCCTAGTGATGCTGCTGCTGATGCTGCTACTACTACTGCTGCTGCTGTTGCTTCTACTGGTACTAGTACTAGTACTAGTACAAGTACTGGTAGTGGCACTAGTACAAGTACAACTACCAGCACTACTCTGCTGCTACTGCTACTATTACTTCTACTACTACGACCATTCCTCCTACCGTGCGACTACTAGCGCTGCTACTGCTGCTGCTTTCTGCTGCGCTGCTGCCACTACAAGCCTGCAGGAGGTGAGCCAGGAGCTCGCCAAGATGTTGGAGGAGACAGGGCAGGCGGCTTGCTGTGTCAGGGTTCCTCTGTGTGTAGCAGCAGTAGGGGCAGCAGTATTAGTAGTGGTGGTAGTAGTAGTAGTAGTAGCAGTAGAGGTAGCAGAAGTAGTAGCAGGAGTAGTGGTAGTAGAGTTAGTAACCAGTGGTTAGTTTTTAGTTGTTGGTAGCTAGTTGTTAGCAGAGTAGTAGTGGTAGTATTACTATCATTATTAGTAGTCGTAGCAGTAGTGGCAGTAGTAGAGTGGTAGTAGTACTAGTAGTAGTAGTAGTAGTAGTAGTAGTAGTAGGAGTAGTAGTAGTAGTAGTAGTAGCAGTAGTAGTCGCAGTAGAAGTAGCAGTAGTAGTAGCAGTAGTAGTAGCAGCAGCAACAGCAGTAGTAGTAGTAGGAGTAGTGGTGGTAGTCATAGTAGTAGTAGTAGTAGTAGTAGTAGTAGTATGAATACTAGAAATAAACGTAGTAGTAGTAGTAGTAGTAGTACTAGTAGTAGTAGGAGTAGGAGTAGGAGTAGGAGTAGGAGTAGGAGTGAGTAGGAGTAGGAGTAGGAGTAGCAGTAGTAGCAGTAGTAGCAGTAGCAGTAGTAGTAGTAGTAGTAGTAGTAGTAGTAAAAACAAGTAAAAACAAGAAGTAGAAGTAGTAGTCGTCGTCGTAGTAGTAGTGGTAGTGGTAGTGGTAGTGCTAGTGGTAGTGGTTGTGGTAGTAGTAGTAGTAGTAGTCGTCGTCGTCGTCGTAGTTGCAGCAGTAGGTGGTAGTAGTCGTCGTCGTGGTGGTCGTCGTCGTCGTAGTAGTAGTGGTAGTAAGTAGTGGTAGTAAGTAGTCAGTAGTCGTAAGTATGTGTAAGTAGTAGTAAATAGTAGTAGGTAGTAGTAAGTAGTAGTAGCTCCGGCTGCTATTGTGACGACGGCTACTATGTCTTTCGCCGCCACTACTAGCCATTCCAGCCGCATTGGCCTTTTTGAAGGGCTGTGTGTCATATGCTTGTTCGAGACAGGTGAGGCCCTGGATTGTCTTTAGAGCTCCGAGGATTCTCGGAACCAGCCTCCCCAAAAACTTTGAACGGATGTTTGGGCAGAACGCCGAAGCAGCACGCGTTTACATGCATCTCGCGAAGATTGTCGAAGCTGTGCCTGGGCTTCTGTTCGTTTATGGGTTTAGGCTTAGGGTTGCCTTTCTAGAGATTAGGGTTTGTTCGGGGTCTCCAGCTCTTCTCTTGGAGCCCTAAATGTTGAGTATGTTTGGGAGCCTTTTTGTTGACAGCACTTCCTGTTAAGGCTCAGTGCAAATGCACTTGACTTGCTTCGCAGAGTCAGTAGGTTAAATGTCGTGAGGCTGCATGCCAACAAGGGCTTTAGATCCAGCGATTCTGGTACACGGAAGGAGATTGTACTAGAAATTGTAGCAGCTACACATCCTTTGTAGTCGGCAGTGCACTCCACCAGAGACGTCCGTTGGCTCTTCTCAACTCCGAAACCTGAACCCTCCCGGGCTGCGAGTGGCGGTCAAAAACCCTTAAGCCCTCACTCAACCCGTGGGCAGAACACCGAGGAAGGTCAGAAGAAGAGCGCCTACCGCTACTGCAGGCACAAGCTGTCTTTGACTCAAACACTAGAGTCACTAGAACCCTTTCTCAGCCCCAAACCCTAGATGGGTTCGGCGGAACTGCGATTGACAGTCTCCTAGTCTCATGTCAAGTGGCCCTGCATCCTAGCTTGCTGTGCAGAATTGAAGCCCAGCAATGTTGTAGTCAACGTTAGTAGCGGAAGCGGCAGCAGCAGCAGCAGCAGCAGCAGCAGCAGTACGAGCAGCATGAGGAATTGCAACAGCAGTGGCAGCAGTAGTAGTGGAGTGGTAGTAGGAGTGGGAGCAGTGGTGGTAGCGGTGACTAGTAAAATCGTCGTTGTTGTAGTCGTAGTCCTATTCCTGGTCCTAGTCCTTGTCGTTGTGGTTGTGGTTGTTGTGGTCGTGGTTGTTGTTGTTGTGGTTGTTATCGTTGTCGTTGTTGTTGCTGCTGTTGTTGTTGCTGTTGACCGAAGGCACTGCATATAGTGCAAGGCTCAATGCACAGACTGGTGGGTTTATCACCAACCAGTGGAAAGGATACATGATCATGGAGCTATTTTGTTGTCCAGTAACGTATTTCTTTTCATGACTCATGACCTTGGAATCTTTGGTGTCGTTGAATGCCGGCACAGGACAAGCAACCAGAATATGATTCAGAAAGCTCTGTAGCCAAAGGCAGGCCTTCCGATTGCGCCCCGGCGACAGCAGCTTAGGGGGTCTGCTCAGGCTAGCGCCTGAGGTGCCTCGGCAGATGCGAGGGGTTCGGGGTCTCGGGTCGATTTAGGGGCTGTTGAACTATGAAGGAAGCGATACCCGTGCTATGTCTTGCTACGATCCGGACATAAGATTGGCAGTTTCGGGTCGTCTCACAGTTCCTCGTGGTTTCACAATCTTTTTTCGAGCTAGTAACACTGAAGATAGAAGTGCTGAGTATTGGAATAGTTTAGTGGATGCAGAGAGCCACTAGCACATTGGAGCCAGCGAGCACAACCACCGCGGCAAAAGTAGCGATAATAATACCAGTGCCAGTGAGCGAACTGCTAACAAGCAAAGCACCCGATGATAAAGACTACACATATAGAGAAAATTATTCGGTATTAAGGTTGACTGCGTGCAAGACGCGGCCACGGAAGCCCTGAAGTGGCGACTTCCCGATGCAGCAGACATTCTGGGCCCCATCTTCGAGATGTTCAAGGCGAGGTCTTTGGGCTTAGTCTGAGTCTTAGACTGAGGTCTACGATTCGGAGGTGAGAGGAGGGGGCTAACGGCTAACGAGCATCGAGGGTGAAGCCTGTCTCTGCTGTTGGCCGTTGCTCCGCAGATGCCGCGAGAAGCGACTTAGCAAACTGCGAGAGAGGCGTACGTCGACCAGCGCCTGGCTGCTGGCGCACTGACGGTGCCGGGAGGACTTCAGAAGGGACGACCGGCAGATGCAGGCAGAGTTGAGGCGTTACTGGTTCCGGGAACGGCACAAGGATGACTGCCTCAGCAGCCCCAGTCCAGGAGCAACCCAGGCCCACTAAGCCCCAGAAACGGTCGGGCTTGGGGCGTCGCAGGAGCGACGCCGCGACCACGCTCAGAAGATACGCCAGGTGGGATGCCGATGTATGACTCGCAGCTGGGCGGGGACAGACGGTGGTTTACGGGTCAGGTTTTGATTTGAGGTTAGCAAAAGGGTTCGGGTTTATGGGGTCGAGGGTTTTTCCAAACGAGTGTTCCTGCTGAGGTGCCAGTCGGAGTCGATTATAGTCCATGCAGTCCGCAGGTTTCACAATCAATCGACTGCGAACCAAGAACCTCGCCTAGCATGTCCGAGAATGAGTGCCGAAACCCTAAAGTTCCTACGCCTGAATCCCGGTCTAGGGTTTGCCATTTCGGTCGACAGCTTTCGGCTCCGAGTTGCAGGGCGTGTTATTGTGTTGACTGATACTGAAAGTGACAGTGGTATGAGTAAATCTGTCTTCGATTTTCTACGACGTCATACTGTTGCTGGGCGTATACATATACACGCACATATGCAGAGGCGCACACTGTGTACAAGTGTACGCAGCGCAGTACAATACAATACAATACAGTACTTGCAGTACAGTACAACACAATAAACGCAGCAGAATACAGCACAACCCAAGACAGCAGAAGACACGTTCATATAACATAGGGTCCTAGTGCATCCTACGACGTGATCTCTTTTTGGATATAATGTCGCAGAGCATAGCATAACACCACAACGTAGTCTACAACTTTTTTGCACCAGAAGGTATGATAAAGACGACGAAGACATGGATAAAGATAAATATGACACAGAAACACATACATGGTCTCTAGATTCTCCTATGTTGGTTACCTACATCAAAACCGTGCTGGTTGGCTTTGTGGGCCCTAGGCTGCTGGAAAACTTTTTCGCCGATGACAGCCAGTCGAGCCAGGCAGAGAGCCGGGTGCGCCTAAGGTTTGCATTTTTTAAGAGAGAAGTCAAACATTTTCTCGGGCTTTAAGGTTTAGGATTCTGGAAAATTCTGGGACGCTGGGTGGGGATACTCGTCAGAATTGCCAAAAGCCGTGCCTCAAACAGGTTGTTTTTTTGTTTTTGTTTTTTGCGGGCTGCGGGGCTTTTGAACCCAGTAGTTGCCACAACAAGAACACTTGAAGCTCTGAGAGTTGTAGCATGGAAGCTGCCGTGTAGGCATCCTGCGCCAAAAGCAGGTAACCCGACGCCGCTTGCTCGACCAATGTACCTTGAATCATAGTCAAGACCCTCACATGATTAAGTTAACTGGTAAGCCTCGTTCTTTGGAGTATTGAGGCGGATCCTAAACTTCCTAAGTCAAGGCAAGCACCTAAACGTAAACACTTACACCCTCAAGCAGCCCGACGGCTGCAGCTGCGAACAAGTTTCCCAGAGCTCGACTGGAAGGTTCTTTCTTGGACTCCGCATCTTCGGGCCAGTGCGAGGGCTCTCAATGCCTAGTACTGCGATTCTTCAGGGTTTCCCATCCCAACATCTTTACAGTTCAGGCGTCTACTTTGTTCATGCAGCGCAAAGCCCTCGTATTGTAGCAAGAGCTGCCCTGCAAAACCTTCGCGATCTGAAGCTGCAGGCACAAGAGCCACGTCAAGCAAGTCATGATGACATGAGAGAATGGACAGCAGCGTCTGCTTCTTGCTTGTGTTTGGGTTGTTGGACAGGCAGTGCCAGTGCCGGCCACCCCCATGAGCCTCCCACCGGGAACGCCCAGAACCAGTGCCCGGGGGCTCAGTGTCGACTCCGGGGGTGCGCAGCTCTGAGCAGCTCAGAGGGTTTTGGGAATTGAAACAATGGTGTTGGTGAGCAGTTCTCAGGCGCCGGGCACGCCGGGCACTCCGATGCTGATGTCTGCCACCCAGGCTGGGGTTCCTTTATAACTTTATGCCCGGGATTCAGGAAATCTCGGCGAAGGGGCCGAGGTGGCTGCGGAGGCAGCAGAAGTAGGCGAGGCCGAGATCATGCTAGCTATTCTAGTACGTAGTAGCAGATTTAGTAGCGGTGGTCGTCATCCCTGTCGATCTTCTCGCAGGGGTCTCCTTGTCCAGCTAAACCCAGCGACTTGCACAGATGAAGCTCTCCTAAACACTCGTCCACAGCACCACAAGCTAAACTGCCAAACCTCAAAAATCTGCCGGACATCTAGGGCGCTGAAGTCTAGAGTCTAGAGTCCAGACCTGAACACCAAACACCGAACTCGTAATGCAGGTGGCTGACCTCCGCCGCAAACATCCGGGTCGTCCCTTGGTGTCAACATTGCTTGGTGCGCTCGCACGGGATTTCAGGAGGTGCTGCATCGTTTGCACAGGGCGGCTTTCGCTTGCATGCGCGTGTGTCGGGTTGTATGCTCATGGCTTTGCGGCTTTCAGGGTTCAGGGTGGTTTGCTGCTCTATGTCTGCTGCTCCTAGTGGCATTCTGGGCTGGGCACTTGCGGCTCAAGCTTGCGGCAAGTCAGAGTACATCAAAACTTGCAATGCAGGTTACTGAGCTGTTGATAGAATTTAGGTAGCGGGACATTCTCCACGAACTACGCAGAACACAGAATGTTTCGAATTAATTTGTAAGATCGCTATCTTAGCCCGAGCTTTTTGGTGGGATCCTTGGGGTCCATGTCTCCATTCCCCGAACTTCGACACAGTTTTTTAAGCCTTAGTCCGAACAGGCCGTGGAGTTCCAGCACCGCCCCTTAAAGAGCCAAATCGAGTGAGCTCACCCAAGCTACTCCCGACCCGCAAACTTACATGCATGTATCTATCTCTGTGAATGTCTGTTTATCTGTCTATCCGTGTATCTGTCTGTCTATCTGTCTATCCTATTATATGTTACCCTATCTATCCCTCTATCTACCCAGCCACGTATCTATCTACGTACCTATCTAGCTCTCTATCTATCTAGCTAGCTAGCTAGCCATTTAGGTATTTAGCTATTCATCTATCTATCTGTCTGTCTGTCTATCTATCTATGTAGCTGTTTATCCATCTGTCTATCTGTTTATCTATTTATCTATTTATCTCTTTGTCTATCTATCCATCGATCTATCTATTTATCGTTTATTTCCGTCGAATCTATCTACTTAATTTCTCTACCATTTGTATCTAGTCTAGTCTAATCTTTATCGTAAGCCTTATCTTTATCTGGATGAAGCTGATCTTATCCCATCTGGTCTTTTCAGAACTTATTTCCATCTGATACCCTAGCTTAGTTCTCATCTCATCTGGTCTCATTTCATTCCATCTTCTCTTCTCACGTCTTCTCATGTCCCGCCACCCCCTCTCGCACATGTTGTCGTGTCGTGCATCTGATATTTTAAATCTTGTCCTGATCTATCTTGTTTCATCTTATCTTGGCTTAATCTTGCCTTATCTCAATCGTTTTTTCTTAAGCCTAATCTTACATTGTACCTTAACCAACCTGTTTCTTAATACCTGTACCTTGATATCTGTAGCCTACATCTGCTGGCTGGCTGGCTGGCTGGCTAGCTCTCTATACGTACAATGCATACATACGTTCATTCAGCGACCACGACGACAAGGACAAGACCAGGATCAGCACGACGACCACAACAACCAGGACGACCAGATATATATGGTCTCGTGTCGCGTGTCGGTACCCCCACCCCACCCCCATGGTATCCCCCCCAATGGTATATACCCGAAATCCTCGTGAGGGTCGCACTTTTGTC